GGGGGGGGGGTCATTCACCCATCGGCCCATCGTGGCGACTTCTTCCGTCTTCTCCAACTCCTTCGGCAGGAGGATAGTGCGTAATGTGTACCTCACGCGGGATCCACGACCGTCATCGCCGCCAGTGATAACAAATAATTGTTTGTAGTACTCTGCCAATCAACCTTGCGCAATGAATGACTGGCTATCTTTGAGCCAGCAGCATAGACTGCGGGCCAGCCCATAGGAGGGTTCGGGTGACCCCAAGCTGCGGCTATGGCACTGGGGGGAATTTTCCGCGCGGAATAAAAGATAACGATACTTTTGAGCAGAGGGAACCCGGTATAGATATGGATTCTCCAGGGTGCTATGCCCCCCCCCCTCCTTTTCTCACATTTGCCTGGCGGATGCTTCATGTCGCTTGTGTCCATTCCCTCCGCATGCGCAGGGTGTAGGCCCGTGGGCGTTGCATGCCTGCCATGGACAACTCGGACGAGAACGGCCTGGTGACGGAGTGCAGCGTACCCATCCTGATGGGGGCGAGGACCCACGCCGGCTCGAACGGCGAGCTGCGGCCGAACAAGGTACTGCTTACGTCCCGGGAGGCGGCTGCATGTTCGGGAGCCCTTTGACGTGTGCTCTTTGCGCACCTCCCTGACCGTCTCTCTCTCTTCCCTAGGCCGTAGGATGGACTCCGCTGCTGATCCTGGCCGCGGCCGTGTCCTCGCTAGGCGCCGCGCTCCCGGTCGGCTTCAACATCGGCGTCATCAACACCCCGGCCGTTGTGAGTATCCTGAGCGGAGCCCCATACAGGCCGACCCTGACCCTGGTCACACGACCGGCACAGACTTACTGACGCGGCGCACTCCCCGCAGATCATCAAGGACTTCTGCAACGCGAGCGTGGCGGCGCACTATGACGTCTCGCTGACGCACGGCCAGCTCGACCTGCTGTGGTCCGTCGTCGTGTCCATGTTCCTGGTGGGCGCCATGACGGCCTCCATGTCTGGCGGCTGGGTGGCGGACCGCTTCGGGCGCAAGGGCGCCCTGGGCATCGCCATGGCGCTCAGCGTCGTCGGCGCGCTGCTGTTCCTCGTGTGCAAGTACGCCAACTCGGTGGAGATGCTCATGATGGCCAGGCTCGTCGTGGGCCTGTCCTCCGGACTCACCACCAGCGCCATGCCCATGTACCTCACGGAGCTGGCCCCCGTGCACCTGCGGGGCGCGCTGGGCGTCATCTGCCCCATGGGCATCAACTTCGGAGTGTTCGCCGGACAGTTCGCCGGGCTCGACTGGCTGTTCGGTATGTTGCTGTTGCCGCCGCTGCTCCATGTAGACCTTATAAGTCCCTGGATTGAGTGACTTTTGACCTTTGACCCGGCAGGTAACGAGGCCTTGTGGCACGTGCTCCTGGCGCTGTTCGGGCCCCTGGCCGTGGTGTGCGGGCTGCTGGTGCCCGCGCTCCCCGAGTCCCCCAAGTACCTGTACCTGGTGCGCGGCGAGGAGCACCGCGGCGTGCAGGAGCTGTCGCGCATCCGGCGGCAGCCCGAGGAGCGCCTGAGCGAGGAGCTGCGCGCCCTGCGCATGGCCCACAAGAGCGCCTCCGACTCGCCGGCGGGGGGCGCGGGCGGGCCCGGCGGGCGCAGCGAGGAGGCCGCGGCCCTCGGGCACCAGGGCGACTGGACCATGGGCAGGGTGCTGCGGTCGCCCGAGCTGCTGCTGCCCGTCGTGCTGGTCGTGACCCTGTGCGGCGGCCAGCAGTTCAGCGGCATCAACGCCGTGTTCTACTACTCGTCCTCCGTGTTCCAAACCGCCGGACTCACCACGACGCAGAGCCAGTACGCCACTCTGGGCTGCGGGGCCATCAACTTCGCGACCAGCGTGCTGGCGGTGCCCCTCGTCAACGGCAGCGGCCGGCGCCCGCTCATGATGCTCAGCACCACCTCGGCCGTCGTCTTCCTCTCGCTGCTCGGCACCTCCATCCTCACCATCGTGAGTTCAACAGCCGGTTCGTTCCCTCCCAAGGCGCTCCCTAGATGTTGGTGTTCTTAATCGTTTGTTGTGTTTGTTTTCTAGGATGTGTACACATGGATGCCGTACGTTGCAACTGTGTCGGTGCTCGCATACGTCCTCGTGTATGGCTTGGGAATGGGTCCCATACCCTATTTTATTGGATCAGGTAAGTCCATATTTTTGTGTTGTCTAAGACAGAGGAAAATAATAGTCAGAGGTGAAAACGGTTATGATTAAATGTACAATTTTTTCTTGCAGAAATTTTTGATGTTGGACCAAGACCACTTGGCATGGCTTTAGGAAGTCTTGCAAATTGGGGTGGCAACTTTGTTGTTGCCTTGGCCTTCCCTGCAATGCAGGCGGAAATTGGTCCTGCCTCATTTTATGTTTTTGCAGGTTTCACTGCTTTGCAGTTTGTTATCCTTAAGTAAGTTGAATCAAAATACTATAAGTTTTTCCCAAAACCGACTATGAAAATGTACTTTTTCAACAATTGAACTTTCATTTATTTAACAGAATATACCTCCCGGAGACAAAGGGTCGAGATACAGCTGAAATTGCTGATATGCTTCGAAAGGGCTTCAGGAGCACTGTTGCCAAAGATGTTAAGCCTCCCCAACCACTGCACTGTGAAGAATCTCCATAAAAATATACTAAACTGTCACCCCAGCTGTTTTTAAAAATAAGTTTAAGACTATGACTTTAATTTAGCTATAATAACTCAATGACGTAAGAACAGGGTACTCTGACAGTATGTGTGTTTGTTACTTAATGTTGCAGTTTGTTGTAATTCAAAAAATCTTGAAAAGGGGCATTCTCTCATTTTTATATGGCATTCTAGTGCTACTTTTATGACTGTGATGAATTTTATAGACCTTGTTACTTATCTGATAATTTTATTATAATACTTTATTGAATACCCATGCAGTGGGTTAATTTCTAGCCCGGGTAAGAATTTTTTGCACAATAAATGTTAAAGTTTGACTCTACAAGGCACAAAACTCAAGTATGTGTACTTTTAATGAATGAATCTCTATTAATTAACTTATTTGCTCTTTTTGAACTAATGAGGAGCTTGTCACAAAAACTATGTGTAAACTTTGATAGACATTTTAAAAACTGTTTTTATGCTATATCTTTTTTTTACAAGTATTTTTTCTATATGCCAGTTTTTGTACAAATTTTTTGTGGTAGATCTTCGGCAATATTTGAAGCCAGTTTATATCATGTCAGATAGCCTATGTCTTCCATATGTATCATACAGCATCCAAGACTGATTACATGGTAAATTTCTTTCATTATCCAGCTACTTACTTAACTCAGTTGGATTTTGAAAATGTCTGAAAGGGTATTTTAGATGTTATGCCGTCAATTGCCCGTTGAAATTATGTGGCTTACTATCAGAGAATGAAATTTTTAATTGTAATGGTATGCTGTAGGTGTAATCAGTATTTTTTTAAACGGAGCTCTTCCGTTTACATATATTTATCATTTTTTGCACTCTGCTCTCCAGCATTCAGGATTTTCTTTCAAAAGTAATAAACACCTTGGAAAGAAATAAACAATTTTCGTTTTTTTTTTTTCTGTTTATTAATTGACAGGAATCCTTCCTTCCTTGTGTTTTCTATTACAACCGATTGCTGCCGCCTGTTGCATAGGCCACTCATCATACTTCGATGTACAGCGGGCAAGCACACTCAGCGCGCACACAAATTGGCCGGCAAGGGCGGGCCATTCGTTCGTGCCCGCGGCCGCGGCGCCGCGGCACGCGCAGAGAACAATGAATTCTTGTCTTAGTTGGCCGAGGCGCCACCATAGTGGGCAGCACTGTCGCGGACGTGTCAGTAGTGACTTCTCGCTGCGAGGAACGAATCGAAAGTTTCTTCTGCCAAGGAGAAGGGAGAGGGAGAGAGGGAGAAGAAGACCAAACGTCTCCAGAGATGGCGGGTCACGAACAAGTCGGTGTCGGCGATTTTGTCCTTTTGGACCAAATAACCATTGAAAATTTTATGCACAACCTGCAAATTAGGTAAAAACAAGCTTCATTTTCCTTCAGCAATAGTTTCATTGCCAGATTGTCCTGTAAAAAAGATGATATATCTGTCCATTCAGTTTTTGGTTAAGGGGTGTGGCTAAGGTAGCCTTGGCACAATTCTGTTGTTTATTTACATTTGATGTTTATATATACTGACAATGTGTTATTTAAATGGACCGCACTGTCAGCTGTTTTATCAGAGCTTCCTAATTAATGGGCCAATGCTCTCGTTTGATTTGTGTCAACGCCGAAATGCCGGGAATATGTTGCTTCTATGACTCATACCTATATACCTCATACACTTGACTTCTCTTTCAACCATACCTGTCATTACTTTATTTTCTTTTTCACGCATCAAGTTATTTGATAGTTTTAAAATTTCGAATTTTAAGTGTTAAGAAGTTTGTGCTGGAAATGTCAGAGGAATCATAATAATTTTTCACTTTTCAGATTTAATGCAGGCAAAATTTATACTTACATAGGTGAAGTATGTGTGTCTGTAAATCCTTACCGTACAACAAACATCTACGGACCGGAACAGATTTCCCAATACAAAGGTTTGTGTCTAAGAATTTAAAGCAGTTTTGAGATGCACCTGTTGCATGGCTTACTTATTAATCTTTTAACAATGATTTTGGCAGGCCGTGAGTTATTTGAGAACCCTCCTCATATATTTGCTATTGCGGATGCTGCTCACAAGCAAATGAAGCAACAAGGCCGAGACACCTGCATTGTTATCAGTGGTGAATCAGGCAGTGGAAAAACTGAAGCATCTAAGATTATTATGAAATATATTGCAGCTGTCACCAATGTGGGTGGTCAGAAAGAGATTGAGAGGCAAGTGCAGTTTGTAAATTTCAAACTACACGTTTAATGTGCTATTACCACTGTTAACAAATGTTTTTCTCATTATTAGAGTTAAAGATGTTCTACTGCAGTCCAATGCTATCCTTGAAGGGTTTGGGAATGCAAAAACAAATCGAAATGACAACTCATCCCGTTTTGGAAAATATATGGACATAAACTTTGATTTCAAAGGTGATCCCCTCGGTGGACATATTAATAATTATCTTTTAGAAAAGTCTAGAGTTGTTGTACAACAACCTGGAGAAAGAAACTTCCATAGTTTTTACCAAGTATGTAATGTGAAAATTTATATTGATTGGTTACTTAATAACAATGATTAATTGTAGCTTTTATTTTTTTAAATATTTCTAGCTACTAAGTGGTTGCAATGAAAATGATTTGAAAAACCTCCAACTGAGTCGTGATCCAGCAAAATATGTTTACACTCAGCATAGTGGGACAAGGGTTGGAAGTGAAGATCGTACTGATCACAGAGCAACACAGTCTGCTTTCCGCACACTTGGCTTTACTGATGATGAAGTGGATACAGTTTGGAGAATAGTGGCGGCAATTTTGCATCTGGTAAGTTTATTAAGATGAGAAGATTTTAGCCATTTGCTTAATCATTTTTGCTTTTGCTGGTCTAAGAATCTTTATCATAAACTGATAAGGCAGATAAGATACCACTAACTTGAATAGCAACCTTCTGCTTTTTATCTCAGTCATTGGTGGTGATGGTCAGCAATTCACTCAGCTTACAATGCAAAAAAAAAAAAAGAAAAAAAAAGACAATTGATTGAAATCAATTAGCTATGAAAATTGTAATTACACTTTTGTTTTCAGGGTAATCTTAAATTTGCCTCATCTGATGACTCCACTGACATTGCTACCAAGAAAGAACTGGACATTGTTGCAAAGCTACTCTGTCTCAGAGCAAGTGACCTAAAGGCTGCCTTAACTGAGAGAGTTATTGCTGCGCGTGGGGAAGTGATGCAGAAGACACACACCACAAATCAGGCAGAAACTGGCAGAGATGCCTTGGCTAAGGTGTGATTAATTACCAATAGTTTGTATGATAGTAGATTAGTAGATCCTTCCTTGTCATCTTACCAAAACTTTACTGCTAATTCAATGCTTGTTCTCTTCAGGCTGTGTATGAAAGATTGTTCCAATGGATTGTGAAGAGAATTAACACTGCTATTAATGTTGATGAAAAGCTTGTATACCACCGATTTAAAGGCACTGTCATTGGTGTACTTGATATTTATGGATTTGAAGTTTTTGATGCCAACGGGTTTGAACAATTTTGTATCAATTACTGCAATGAAAAATTACAACAGCTTTTTATTGGTGGGAAAAAAGTTTCAAACTCCAATTGATCTGCAGAAATACAAATAGAAGCTTTATCTATTATCCTAATTTGTAATTTTGTTTTACTTACAGAGTTGGTATTGAAGCAAGAACAGGAGGAGTACAAGAATGAGGGTATTGAATGGACCAATATTGATTATTTCAATAACCAGGTTATTTGTGAACTTGTGGAGAAACCACACAATGGTGTTCTGGCAGTTCTTGATGAAGCATGCTTAAATGTTGGAAAAGTAACTGATGAAATGATTGTAGAGGCTTTTGATAACAAACTCAAAGGAAATGCTCATTATTCAAGCCGTCAAATTGTTCCAAGTGACAAGACTTTGAAGCACAAAGAGGAGTTCAAAATTCGGCACTATGCTGGAGATGTAAAATATGGTATCACTGGCTTTCTGGAAAAGAATAAGGATACAGTTTTTCAAGATTTTAAACGGTTACTTTATAATTCATCTGATAAAAATATCAGTTCTATGTGGCCAGAAGGTGCTGAAGACATAACAAAGGTCAGTATTTGTAAACTACTGTAACATATTCAGTAAGGTGGTGAAAGGGGGCTGGCAATCCTTGCAAAATGTGACCACATTGTGGTTCACTCTGCATTGAAAGTGAAAACTGGTGGATTTTTCTTTCTTTCCTATCTAATTCATATTTTTCCTCTTATTTAGACTACTAAAAGGCCCATGACAGCTGGTGCATTGTTCAAAGCATCAATGATTGCACTTGTTAAGAACTTAACAAGTAAAGTTCCTTTTTATGTCCGCTGTATTAAACCAAATGAACTGAAGTCTCCAGTAGCATTTGATGCTGAAAGAGTTCAGCATCAGGTTTCTTACCTAGGACTTGTTGAAAACACTAGAGTTAGAAGGGCTGGATTTGTGCATCGTGTCAGCTATGATCGTTTCTTGAAACGGTGAGGCAATTGATCCCACTTCACCCACTAACCACCAACTTTTGTTTTTAGTGTAATATATTTGGGTTTTACAGGTACAAAATGATTTCCAAGTATACATGGCCTAACTTCAAGGGAGGCTCCCAGAAAGAAGGGACCAAAGTTCTCATAAATGAAAGGGGCTTTGCTAATGATGTCAAATATGGCCATACTAAGCTATTCATTAGAACTCCAGCTACCCTGTTTTCTCTCGAAAATGTAATTATTTTTATTTTTTTTATTTTAAGTCTGTTTGTTGTTGGGTCCCAAAGTAGACCTGTTCATTTTTTGTTTCTTATTTATCTATCTATCTAAATGAAAAATTAGCTGTTATATGTTTGCATGTGTCTCCGTTGTCATTTATGCTCTAATTGCATGTGCATCTGTCGTTGACAACTTCTTAGAAAATTGGATATTGCATAAATGCATGGAGAATGTAACTTAGATGTATATCTGTTGTTTTTTTTGTCATTTTTTTGTAATAGGCTCGAGCTGAATTGATACCAAGCATTGTAGTACTACTTCAGAAAGTATGGAGAGGTACTCTAGCACGCATGCAGTACCGTAAAATGAAGGCTGCTCTTGTCATCATGAGGTACTATCATGCCTACAAGTTGCGTTCCTATATTTCGCAACTCGCTTCCAGTTTTAAGTAAGTGTGCTTTCAAGTGTTTTACTTTAATTTATTGTTATGCTAATTGCTCTGGTGTTTTATGCCTATCTGCATTTCTGGACTCAATTTCACGATACCGTTTCCTCATTTTTACCCTCTAGCATATTATCTATTTTGCATGACTGCATAACTATCTAAAGTTTTAATGTATAATTTTCTACAATTTTTTTCTTTCTATTCTACTTTGATTTTGATCTGGGCCAGTACACATTCTTGATCATACTTTGTTCTTTAATATCTAATACCATGTCTTACAATACCTCACAGAGGAGCCAAACATATGAGAGATTACGGAAAAAGTATCCAGTGGCCTGTGATGAGTGTTGCCATTCGTCCTACATACCCCAAGCTGCGTGCCATGTTTGAGCGATGGTGGGCGTGGATGATCCTACATAAAGTGCCTCGGCAAGATTGGGCACAGTTAAGGCTGAAAGTGGCTGCTGCTTCTGCCCTTAAAAATCAGAGAAGACTATATGGACAGGAGCGTAGTTGGGATGGTGACTATCTTTCAAAGCCTGATGAGAATGCAAATTCTGATCTCTTCAAGTCTAGTGTGAATAATATTAAGAATTCTGAAAGACTAAGAATGGTAAGTCATTTACAAATTGAACTCCATGGAAGCTGTATTTAGTTAGGAGAGCTAAAGCCGAGAGCTAAACGCGAGAGCGCAAAGTGATAGCCGAGAGCGAAGAATCGGTGCGGTGGTTACGGAAGAACGGCAGCTCGGGTCACTCGGGTCGGGGTTCGGCCACCGGTTCTTCGCTCTCGGCTATCATTTTGCGCTCTCGCGTTTAGCTCTCCTAACTAGATACAGCTGTACTATATATTCCATATGAATACTTAGAGAGTTGTATTTTAAATGAAGTACTATCTTATCATTTATTTAATGGATTCTTTTCCCATATTTAGGTCATGTTTTCTTCATTTGTTCGGAAAGTCAATAGATTCAATAAAATTGCACAAAGAGTCCTCCTTGTAAGTGACTCGCATATTTACAAGCTTGACCCAGAAAAGAGATTTAAGCCAATGAAAAGGGGGTGGCCCATATCAGAGGTATGAAAATCTCATGCTCAATAATTCTAAGAAAATTCAACCTTCTTACCGGTTAGTCTTTCTAATTTTCTGTTCAAAATGTTCTTTTGAAGGTTACAGGACTCAGTTTAACTCCTGGCCAAGACCAGCTCATTGTCATTCATTCTAGTAAAGACAATGACCTAGTCATTTCTCTGGAACCACAATCTAGATCCCAGTCAAGAGAGGATCGTATTGGAGAACTTGTAGGAGTATTGTGTTCTAGATATTCACAGTAAGTTTGTGCAATCATTCCTCAAATTTGAAAATCCATGACTATTGTTACCTGAAATATTGATTGTAATGCATTTCAGGCTGCGAAATGGAGAAGACCTGCGAGTTAATGTTGCCCCCAAATTCCCAATCATGTTGGGCAAAAAGAAACGGTCTTTGATTGTAGAAACATCTCCTAATATCACCGAACCAGGATTCCGTGCTGAAAAGAGTGGGACAATTGTCTACACTCTGCCCTCTTCATTTGCAGTGCCACAACGGCAAGCACCACCTCCACCTCCCACCCGCTAGGCAAACTTGTGTAAGCCACTGCAACTGTTAACGACCTTGTTAATTATTTTTTATTTCTGCTTACATTATGAATGTAGGCAACTAGTAATTCTATTTACACTGGTTTCATCCAGGTTTGTGCTTTTAGTTGGTGTTTTCACCTTTTTTTTTTACATTAGTTTTAGCATTTCTTTCATTGTTTTTCTATGAATGAATATTTTATAACACCAATACATTTGACTTATGGAAGTCTGAAGGCTAAAATGTATTAGTATCAAGTATCAGTTTTGCAGAATTTTTAACAAATTTTGATTATTTTTTATTCTTTTTGGAGAGATGCAAAATATTTTATTGCAAGTGAATGTGGATCATTTTGGGTCCACCTTTATTTCCTCTTAGAACGTTTCTCCTAAAATACTGATATTTTAAGTCTGTTTCTAGTCTTTCTGTACTTTCATGTTTGATTTTGGTATGCTGTGTTTATTTTACTATCATAAATTGTGTGCTAATATTTGTTTCTAAGGTGTATTAAAGGTAGTATGTTATGGTTATTTCCCTCCTTAATATTGCTATTGTACTACCTATTAGTTACCAAAGTTTGTTGAATGAATTTTCTTTTAGTTGCCTTATAGTTGCTGTGTATTGAAAAAAGTATTCCTATTTAATTGTCCTCATATAAGACACATCATCTTATATTCTCAATTGACACCTTTCACTTCCTGAAGTGCACTGATTCCCATTTTAGCTTTTAAGTACATTGTCTGTGGAGCTCTCATCTAAAAATGCCATTATGTATTTAATAAGAGTGTATTTCTTGTATATCATGTCATGACTTTCATAGTTTTTGAACAATGTGTGAATTTAATCCTGAGGAGCTTTAACTCTCTGTTAGCTTGATCAGTATACCGTAACATCAAAATCGATCTGTATCAAATCCTATGGACATTTTAATACCTCTCACTTTGTATTATAACAAAAACCTTCCGTTGTGAAAACATTGCCGCACCAATCATTAATCTCAAAGTCAATTACGAAGCTATTTTCTAATCTAATCCCTACAAAGACAATATTGAGTAAGCATTTACTGTTGATGAGTTTTGACCGTCTTTATAGACCATATTCACCCTTGTTTCAAACAAGAAACGTTGGTGCTGCACTATTTATTTATTTTTGCACTTTGTAAGCAAAATATCTGTGATTTTTTATTACCTCTTTGGGGAGAGTTCTATTTTGTAGTTCCTGGAGATGCAAATATTATCAATAGTCCGAAGTGTCTCTTAAGTCAAGATTAAGTAAAATTATATTCTTAATACACTTATTATTTTACCTACTAAAGTATCCCACCTTGGCTGTGGAGTTCTGAGGACTACCTTCTATGTGCCTTATTTTCTGTGTACCACCGGTAATGGGAGTCAGTTGCGCTCATCACTTTTAGGAGGGTATTTCATCAATGCAGCTTCTTACTCTTACATATTATGGTTGTAATTCGTTTTTAATTTATCTATTATCCTTCTAGATTGAGTGAAGAAATTTCTAAAATGTCAGTGCATTTGATTTTAATTTCTGTGAACTTTAAGAAGTCTTCCCAATGGAATGATTGACATTGAGCTATGTTAAATGTTCTAGTTTCGCATGAAAAGACATTTTTCTGAAATTGGTATTTGCTACTGTTGAGCAAAAGAAAAGCGACTTTAATTGTTAGAATTTGCACATTTTGCCATTCCAATCTGTATTATTTCAGCATTTAGTAGAGGACTAAATATTTTACCAGCTTAATTCTGCTGGCAAGCAATTTTTTTATTATTTTGTGCCAATAATTGTGCCAGCTTAATTCTAGAATACACTGTACTATGTGTGTGATGTTAACGCATAGGCTTGTGATTAAGTTAACTGGCTGTCTACAAGTGCCTGGAAATCTTGTATGATTGTTTACATATTGCAAATAAAGTAACAAGAAAAAAAAATTCGAGTGTTCATAAGTCAGTAGTAAGACATCAAGCTTCAATACGTCTCCAGGGATAGACAAAACGCAAAACAAAGTGAAGTATAATTAGAATTTAATGACACCACATGATGACAGCATACAAAAAGGTATGGATGCGGGCAAAACAAGCGCCATCAGCTTACAGCTTCAGCTTGGTTCTCCTCCAGTGACGCCTCTTGGCGTTGTATCTGCAATAAAAAATAAGGGAGTGTAAGAACATGACGACACCAGCACAGAATCTCCTCATTGTAGTTGATGATGGTACTAATAAAAGAACACTACTGTTCCCACCATCTCCAATGTTCTTTCAACAGACTCATGGACAGACAAATGAACAGAACAGCCCAACATCAGCACAGTGTTTTAAGTTGACACTAGCAGAAACAACTATGGTAGGTAAGAATAAATCAACTGAATGGTCTAAGAAGTGTCTACTACACTACTACCACATCAGCAGGTTGATTTTAAGGAAGAATAATAAGTCCATCTACAAATTTATTCCCAAAGGAAAAGCTACACATGTCTACACCATGAACACACAAGAGGTTATGGAACTCAAAACAAAACGCCTACCCATACGAAACGAAATTGGTCGTAACTCAATTCCACATACTAATAGAGAAATAGCTAATTTGACAACAATTAACTAACACACTTGACAGATACACGCTATCTAGTAGTACTTTTAAGTGAGGCACTCACACACACAACCGGCCTAACCTAAGCAGATAACCGGTGGTACATTTAAGTTACAGGAGCACAGGAATATGTGCCCGAAATAACAAGCAGTTCGAGTGACGAACGGCAGTGTTACAGGAGAAAACCTACATAAGAATTTAAATTCTTACCTGATTGTGTTGCCTGTCCGCATACGAATCCACTGGGGAATGGGCCTATTTTGCTTCAACTTCTTTGCAAGCTTTTGCTTGATCTTAAATGTCTTGTGGCCCGACTGAAATAAAAAATAGAAAATGCAACTTAGTATTTCAGTAAAGATACAATTAATTGGGCCTAAACAATGATGATGGTGGAAATATTCGATGGATAAGAGGAGCTTACCATTTTGGGTCCGCTGTGGCCACGCTACGGAAAATGAGAAACAATATTAGTTGCTGGGGCTGGAACCGGAACTCAGGCCAGCTGTGCGTCTTTGCCGCTAGGAGCGCTAGTGCTGCGACAACTGGAAGTACCAACATCGCATTTTTGGGGCCAGCGTCACCTCTTTCAATATTGTTTTACTGATAAACTCTAAAATATTCAGTAAAAAATGGAAAATCCCTTTTCAAAAGGAACGTACAAATGAGAGAGAATATCAACGACAGCGCAACCAGTTTGGCGCAAGTCAGTGAGTATGTTGCCTTGCATTGATGTAGCTTCGCCCCCTTCCTGCCCAACCTAAGTGGCGCGCGAGATTTTGAACTGTGGCGCAGAGAAGGGGGGAAATAACCGAGTAGAGCATTTCTTCTCACACAAGAGAAAACCTGTCTATTTTGAAAAGTGATATTAGAGACGGAAAATTTATTTCTGACAGAAACTTGCGGTTATTATCATAGAGAGGATACGATCTTTTTAATTTACTTGGTCGGATCCGTTCACTCGGCGCAGGCGACACCTCACGACACCCACGGACCGAATGGCGACCCATCACGAAGATGCCCTCAGGTTGAACGGCCCGTGCCCCTTGACTTCCCCCTCCCGAGGTGTTATTCCCGCCCGCGTGCGCTCCGCGACCGTGCGACACATCCCACTGTCCTCTCAGAAATGAGTCTCGGCGCCGATCTCATCTGCTCCCCGTCCCCGATGAGGGCGGCTGGAGCCGGGTGGAGCCCGCGGGCCCCCGGGGCGCGGCCGGCGCGGGCCCAGCCCGGCACGAGCACGAGCGTGGGCGCGGGGTCTAACGGAACGGACATGTCACGGCGCGGTACTGTACTCGCGAGAGAGGTACACGCATTGAAATGAGCGCGCGCGGCTGCGGCGGGGACGACAGAGTGTACACAAAGGAGGAAAACTAAAGAAAAGGGCTCCTGTGACGCTGCAAGAAGATTTCGACAGCAATGATGGTTGCCCCCTCCCCCTCTTATCCCCCGCTTTTTCTACTCACCGAAAAATGCCGCACTAAATTTCGGGTTATAATAAGCAGGAAAACCACCTGACCGTAAAAACGTCTCTCTGTCAGGATTTGTGCCTTCGAGTAAGGAGGGTATTGACCACACGGCCAGGTGCTGCACGGCCAGTGTTGTCGCTGTCGCCCCCCTCCCCCCTGCCCCTCCGCCCTCCGCACCTCCGCCGAGCCGCGGAAACCGATCAAACCACTCTACTCGCGGGTCATCCTACCTACACCGGCGCCGCCGACGACCGGGAGTCGTCCATCAGCTTGGCCCCTGCCCTGACCAACCACTGCACGCCCTAGGAGAGTCCGCGCCGCAGTGGCCAGGCTTTGCGTCCTGCGAACGGCGTGCCCCGCGGGGGGCAGCCCCGCCCCGCCACGCCCCGCCACGCCCCGCCACGCCCCGCCACGCCCGTCCCACGCACACGCCACCTAACTCGCGGCACGGCTTGGACCAGTTAGTCAGGCAGCATCCGAAATCCGTTTTCCGTCTCTTTCGGTAGGGCGGGACTCTGGCACCGGATGCAGCCTCAGCGGTTCATCGCCCTCCGCCCCTTTGAGACTCCAGGACGCTGCTGGAGGATCGCCTCTGAGAGGATCCCGTCAGACGCCCCCCCGCGTCAGAAGGAGCCTCCGAAGAGAGGCGTCCCGCGCGGAGTGAACTGAAGCGGGCCGAACCCGCGACAAACGCAGCATCCGTGTAGCATCCGATGGCGCCGCGAACGGCTGGGGCATACGCGTGAGCGTAATGACGAGGTGCTCCTGTGCTCCACGGGCGGGGGAGATCGGGAGGGGGAGGGGGAGGCCCGTGTAGTCCGGCGAAGCTGCCTCCAGCAGTCCCGCCGCCGCGCCGGCTCGCCGGCTTCCTCGCCCAGCCTCCAGCTCCAGCCCGGGGTTGGTCGTCTCGTCTCAGCCCGACTCGATCGCAAACCAGTTGCCTCTGCCGGACCACGGACACTGCGAAGAAAAAGGTGCCACCCTGTCGATTTTGCGCCGCAGCCCTCGCACCCTCCCCCCAGCCGCTCAGCGGAGCGTGGCGGGGCGGCCGCGACCTCGACGACGGCGTCCTCCAGGGTGAGGGTGGGCGAGTCTTCCAGTCCTGCGATATTATTGGGCACCAAGGGTTTTCGCAGCCAAATGACACCTCCTATAGGGTGGCGCTGTAAAGCGCACTGCGGGGGCGGCGCGCGGGGAACAGCACCCCCGGGTGACGGTGGGGGTGCACGACGGGCCTGGCGAGCGCGACGGGGTGCTTCACCCGTCAACAGATCAACGACCGCGGGCCCGGGCGGGCCCCGGGCCGGCCAGCTCCTCTGCCGCTGCGGGTCCGACAGAATCGGCGAGGAATGCCGTCCATTGTAGAGAGGGATTTCGGCGCTCCTCGGGGAAAGACAGCGAGGAGGGGTGGGGTGGGTTAGGGCGGGGCGGGGGGAGGTAGGTTGGGGCGGGACGGGATAAGCGAAACACCGGCTCGGAGATAACCCGCAGGGGAGGGAGGGGGGGTGGGCTCTGCTGTTGGTGTGACACGCGAGGTTCGCGAAGCCGCACGGGCCAGCAAGTCCGCAGCGTCCGCACCGCAGATCGGCGGGGGGCTCCTCCTAGTAAACACGACGCCCGACTCGCGGTGAGGCGGCGACGTGTCGCGTTCGATAGCACCACCATGAACACATTTTGGCTGCGAGATAGGACGAACCAGGGGAAGGGAAAGTGCCCCGCGGAGTTTTCATCTCTCGATATGTCTCTATAAGGCCAATCAAATGTTTTTGTGATGGTGATTTAGTGAGTGACCTTAAAAAGGGGGCACTCTATCGCTCGAAGTTCCCAGAAAGTCACCACGTTTTTTAGCTCTTTTGCGCCTGCACGGTTTTCCTTTTGATATTGTTATCGTCTCTGACCGAGGGGAAGGAAAAGTGCCTGGAGGGCAGTACTTACTTCGCTCGAGGTTTCCGCGAAGTCGCAGCCTTTTCCTCTTTCGCGCCTGCCTATTTCTCCTTCTAATTGGCGTCACTGACGGCAAGCCCACGGTCTGATTTTTTTAAGGAAAAAGGAAAGCCCGAAAAAGGCAAGCCCGCCCGGCGCTCGTGCCTGCGGTACAGTATAACTACAGAAGTGAGCAGGGTTAATCAGCCACCTCGTATTTACAGTGGAGCAGGACCTCCTCCGGGACACAATGGAGAGTGCTTGGGCTTGGGAACGACGCTCACGTATCCTGCCGACTGCACCAATATCGCAGGTTTGGTAGGGAATTCCATCTCCGCGAACACAGAACACAGAAGGGCCAAATCGTAAACATTTTAAAGTGTCGGTCATTTTAAGGGCAGGAAACTAAACCACACGCTTCGATCTCAACTACTTGAAAATGAGTTTTCTCGGTAGATGTAGAGCCCGAGTTCAAGCCCAAGTTTCCTCACCCCTTTGACATGACTGCGCTCATGGCTTTTCGGGGGTGGTTCGGGCACATCGGTGGGGTGTCGGCGGTCCTTGCCTGCATGAGGTGGCTGTCGCCCTGCTTCGGCCGCGCAGACTCGGCGCCGCGCTCGGCTCCGTTCGGCTCCTCGTTCTGTCCGGGCGGGCGGTCCGGGCGGGCGAGGCGGGCGTCGCACTTAGGCCCGTATATAACGCCGGGGACCGCACCCCTCCAGTCACTGTCCGATCCGGCCGCGGCGAGAGGCCGCAATGCGCGCGTGAACAAGCAGGCCGAGGAGCCCGAGGCGCGCGCAACAGAGTGAACACAGTGCGCGAGCGAGTGAGCGAGTTAGTGAGTGAGTTAGTGAGTGAGTGAGTGAGTGAGTGAGTGAGTGAGTGACACCGAGTGGAGCTGCTGGGGGACGAGTAAGTACACAAAGAGTTCAGTGAACGTGACTCCCGCCCGCGAGTCCAAGTTCAGGGGCGCAGCCAGCCCGCCCGAGAACAGTTTCTATTGTTTTGAGTGGGGTTCATTAAAACGGAACGCTACAAACCAAATACAAGGCATTTGTGCATAATAAACGATAATAGTGATCAGCGCCAAAATGAAATAAACGATTGACCAAAGAAGCCTTAACCACCAATCTACTTGACTGTGCATTATTTTGCAGACTATAGTTGGCAGAATCAAAAATGTATGGGGGATAGAAGGAGAAAGTTTTGAAAACAGTGGTTACTGTAAGGGTACGGATTTTCATCTCACCTCACACAATAAGTCGGACCTCTCTTCTCATTTCGGGTCTCATTTAGGCACGCAAAGTGCAAAGTGATTATTTGTGACGTTCCCGTGCGTCGTGCGTGTGTTTGAGTGGGTTTTGTCGGGTGGGATGGGGAGAGGGGGAGGGGGTGGGGGATGTCGATGACACCCTAGCTCTGGTCCAGCCTTTATTAGATAGAACAGGACATGAGACGATTCGAGCTGAATACTACACCGAAATGGTC